AATTTATATTCAACCCCCCACCCCAAAAAAAAGAAAGAAGAGAGAGAATTCTGCAATTTTTCTTAAATACTAAGAACTGAAAAAAAAAAAAAACCCAATTCTTCTAGTCTTTTACAAAGGGTTTTGGAACTATCCCAAATGCTCCAAGAGTTACAGGTAATATTGCAGAAGAGATGGAATTATATATGAAGGTATTCATATATAATTCCGTCTCTTCTGTCAAGGTCATGATATTTAACCAATGTGAAGATTAGATCTGGTCTGCAAACCTGGATGGACTAATCTATTTGAATTTAATACCCACCACCACTACAAAAAAAAAATATATATACTTTTTCCTATTCTCCATTTGGTTTATTAGTTGGCATAGTTAATAAATTATTAAAAAAAAATGATTTGTTGAGAATTATGCAAATTCTCAGTAAATCATTTTTTTAATATAACTATCATGTTCTCCCCAAATTTTCGCTTTCTTCAGATAAATGTGCTTTCAGTTGTATTAAATTTTTCTTTATATCTTATTGCTTATTTACTTGTTGATAAAATTTGTTATTTTGGAACATTGAATATTTATCTGTATCCCATGTATATTTTTAGCATAGATAAAATCTTTTTACTTATTTCTAATGCAGTAACTTCTTTATTTTATATCTTATATTATCTCAGTTTCTCCTGTGATGGCATATTTCTATTTTTGTTTGCACTGATTTTTAGCAGTTCTCTTTTTGTAAGTTCTTAACTTTTTGCTTCAATCTAATTTGGTTTACAGAGATCAATTTTATCTGTGACTAACTTTCTCCTGTGACTAATTAACTTTCTCCTATAAAATTGATGCTTTTAAATGTAAATAAATACCTTATGTTTTTTCCTCTACAAATTGTGAGGGAGAAATGACAAAACTTTCTTTTCTCAATAATGATTACATGCATTCTATTAATACTGTAAGGCCAATATCTAATAAACAAAGTGCTGATAGGATTAAAGTAACTGCAATAAAATGCAAAATAATGATCAAAAATCTGTTTTCTATTGTAATATTTTTCTTTTTGCTTCATAGAAAACTTTTCATATATACTATACTCAAAGAAGAGTATCCAAAAATCACCTGATATATTCATAAAAGAGCTAATAAAACTGCTGCATTCCTATAGCAGTAGATATTTAAGCAGTTCAATATAGATTTAACAAGTACTTAATAGTTTAATAAAATTTGATTGTAGTGGATATACATTTAAAAACTGCACTCAAAGTGTTTAATAATATAGTTTAAGTAGATCAACTTATTGACATTTTTAAGGACTGTGAATTTAAATAACTTCAGTCAACCCATTTCTTTTGTTATTTCAGATTATCAGCACTTGTGAAAATTCCAAAGTATATGTTTGTAATTATGACCCAAATATTTAATAATAGAAAAAAAATGCAATGTTTTATTAATTTAAAATGTTTATCCATTTATGAATCTGTATACACTTAATGTAGAAAGGAACAAAGGGAGGAAAAGAAAAAAAGATTTCATTAATTTTTCATAAACAATATTCCTCTTTTGCTCTGCTGTGACACTATTTAGCTATGGTAATTAACTAACTAATTAACCATAAAAATTACACAAGAAAATACTGAGAATGGAAAAGAAGATACCCCGAGATTTTTTTTTTTTACGTTAAAAATAAGATCGAGTTACTTTTCTCAAAAAACCTGAGGATTGGTGTAAACAGTGGACTCACAAAAAGACCATATGAGAGCTTTTGACAATTGATTAATGATATCTGTAAAAGTACTGATTAACGAAAGACCTGAGAACAAGATATCATCTTAAGTACTGGAAAGGCCAGACCATATGATAATTATAAAAATTTGGGAATGAGAAAATATTGTTGATGCAGGGTAGAGAGAATTACCCTTGTTTATTTTTCCAGGATGTCATGTTAAGTGGCCATATGTCAATTATAGAATTCTGGCATGAGAAAATATCTCTGGAAGAATTGCCGATTTGGAGAGAAAGAAATTTACGGTCTCCCTAAGATTAATAAAGACGGTATTCCACTCAGGCCGATTGTTGTTCCTGACCAGACAACAAAGAGGTTTTTTTTTTTTTTTTTTTTAAAATCAGAAATCGGGATTTACCAAAAACCCCAGACTGTGTCTAACCCTGGACCAGTTTTTGGTTGGTGACCATATAAACGAACATCCTCGGGCAGTCAGGCAGTTTGCCAGTTGCAGACAGCTGAGTTAGAGTTGACAGTTGAAGTTAGAGCCTTTGGAGTTGCAGTTTGAATGGCAGGAACCAGGGTGTTGCCTCGCAGAAGCTGACTGAGAGATTCCATTACTCCTATCCTACCAATAGCAAGTTATACTGACGAACGAAGCTAAGCCAGCACTTAAAAACTAAACCAGTTGACTTAGAAGACCAGAACTTGCCAAAGAAGAGTAAATGTATCACACTCTGTAGAAAACAGGTTGGGATAAAACACAATCCTGTATATAATAAAGTTAATTTGTTTCTTTCAGCATACTTGAACCTCTTGTGTTTTTATTTGCATCTTTTTACACTTGTGTGATATCATCTCCTGTTAGACTCATCTTACGCTATGGCTCGATGTCTGATTAATCTAGTCTACCTAAGATCAAAATCACAACGTGGGTAGGTTAGACTTGAGATCTAAGCGAGCTGGGAACGATAGAGCTGGTGTTGAACTGGTTGCATCTGGTGTGAAGCCGTTAGCATTGACCGACCATCCCACTTGGTACCCTGACCACAGGATCCCACCGAGTAGCGACAACCACTGATCAACCGGGACACAAGCTGGTAGCAACAACTAAAAGCCAATCCCAAATCACCAGTAGGAGAAATATTAGTTTTGCGCTGCGACTGGGAGTTGACCACGGGCCAACAGCTCAGTGTCACACTGCACTTTAACTATGTTATTTTAATATTTACATTTTGCAGTGCATTGACTTGTGAAAAAGAGGTTGTCAAACAACTATATTTTAACATTTTTATTTTATATTTTTAAATTAACTGAGCCCTGCTCATTGTCATTGTATAATCCATAAAAATATTCCTACACCAACAGAATCATTACACACATGACAGGAAGGTGGGAAAGGGGACAAGTGTATATTAATAAATCCAAGAATATTTAGTTTTAAATAATCTTCATGTCATTTTTTTCATGTATGAGAAAGAGTAAGCTATTTTATCTGAACAATTGGTGGAGGTGTATATGAATGGTGAAAATGTTGTAAGCTGAATTTTATAATAATTTAAACCTTATTTGTAAGAGACAGCAGATGGCATGGCCAAGTCTATTCATATTACTTAAGGAAAATTAATGATATGGAATAATGATTAACTTGTCAATCAGACAGTGGGCAATGGCATGCAGAAGCTAAGTAAACTTCAGCAGCATGATAATTTTTGAAGATGTTTAAAAGACATATGCTCTTTGTTCTATTTTGTTCCCTTCTGCTACCTTCAATTGCTTCAATGGTCGAATGATATTTATTTTGTCATTCAAGAGCAAATAAAGAAAATTTACAAACAACCAACTTTGGTTTTATTTGTTATCTTAATTAAGCCAAGATAGGAAAAAGATACATTCAAGTCCAAAAATTAAAGTAAGACTGGTTAAGCAAATGTCCCATAAGTCCAGATAGTAGTTAATCTGTAAAAGATATTTCCTATTAGAATTAAGAAGAAGAAGAAATGATATTTAAGTCAGCTATGTCATAATGATACTTATTTTTGCAACACTGCAAAATCCTGAAAACACCCAGATTTTTCTCGAAAGATAAAATTGAGATTAATGATAAAAAAGGCTCTATTCATCAATTAGTTATCTTATCCCAAATTTTCCAGAGGAAGGCAGATTCTTTCTGTACTGTAATGTTGATAATGATTAATTATAACGTTTTCCAGTAAATTCAAGATATCCAAACCTGTCAATTGTCTTTTGGTATTGTAGTTTCCTTAACTCTTCAGCTTGAATATTCCTATTGCATGTGCAGAGTCCAAGTATTTCTCCTTGGCAAGCATCTGTCATCCTTTAAGCATACATCTGATGCTACTAAGAACTCCACTGACCAACATTTGAAATGATCACTTAGCACAAACTCAACTTGTGACGAGGTGCTGGTGGGGGGGGGTGGAATATATATATATATATATATATATATATATAAAAACTTAGATATCTTTTAACCTAGCCTTTGTCAAGCCACCAATGAGATAGAATGCAATAAATGAAGAATAGAGTAAAAAAAAAAAAAAAAAAAAAAAGATTGAGTAAAAGCAGTAAATCGAACACAAAATTGAAATTAACAACACATATTTATGCAAGGATGTCAAAACAAAATTTAATTATTAATTTAGAAATACTTAAAGTGGCAGTAAAAATTCTCTACCACTTTTTTAGTGTTGTTAAATTAGCAATGACAAGATTAGAGAGAGATTGTTCAATTAAAAATCAATCATATTCTGGGACCATGAACAGGGAATTAAACCATGTATTTGTAGTTGAAGGATAATTTCTTTAAATGCATATCAATACAGGTGCAAAAGAGGGCCTCAGTCACATGTGGACATGTCTGTCAAAGGCAATTAGTCATATTCGGGTTTCTCCTTTAGCAGCAACACAGCCCATGAGCCTCTCTGCAACTTGTCCAGATTTGTGTCTTTGTCAACTGTCTCATGTCAATAAAAGTGACAGGAAAACCAGCAGTCAGTAGTTTGCTTTTGGAGAGACTCACTGTTATCGTTGGAGATTCGGCATTCTCATGGTGCATTTTGTTCAAGAAATTACATACCACCTGCCACACCCATCATTATTCAGGTTTTTTTGTTTTTTTTTAATTACTTCTTGCCTCTCTCTATCCCACTTAATTGTTAAGGGAACAATCTGTTACCTGTTAAGTGTTTCCCTTAGCCTCAATAAACTCTTACCTTATTTTTCTATATAAACATTTATAATACATAAAAAGAAAGTAATGCTAAATACCTGTTCCAGTGTTGCTTGTTTTGCCAATGTATCAGCTTCTAATTTTTCTATCTTTCTCATCAATTTATTTACTTGATACTCTTGTTCTTTCTCCAATGTCTGTTCTAATTCCACCTTTTCTTGGCGTAACTAAAAAAAAGAAAAAAACAAAACATGAGGAATTCATACTGTCATATATTATGGATGAAGAGAGTAAAAATTATTTCAATACACTCACAAAGTCATTATTGGTAAGGCCATGATTATTTTCAAACCAAATATGATTGTGTTCTAAACCTAATTAAATCAACTTTTAAATAATATTTATATCTTACTGAATTTACATTCATCCATTATTTTTTAAATTTCAACTTCTGTTCACTAATCAGACTAAATTCACAAAGTCTAAAAGTAAGTTATTATTAAATACTCTTTATCATACTTGTAAATATAATCAGAAAATGTAAAAAAATTTTTTTAATAAAAAGTTGCATGAACTGCAACAATCTTGTTTTCATAAACTATATGGTTAAAGCTCTAGATATTTTGTCTTATAATTTAAATGAAATTAATTATACATGCATAGATAATATTTGTATACAAGTAAAAAGAATGCTGTTATTTTACATTTGGATTATCTGATGGTCTTCTGATTAATTTTAACAAATTCTGTTATTTTGTTTTTGCATAAAATTTATGTCTATTTGAAGGTAATTATAAGATGTAATTTGAAATAATTGGTGGAAAGAATAAGCTGTGACAAAATTAATGTTTTCCATATAAAGAGGAATACAGTAATTTATGAATTACATAACATACTACAAGATGAAGTTCAAACAAGAATTATACAATTAGATGTTAATATTAATACAAGCATAAAAAATAGTGCATTAATAATGGAGATTTGGTGAAAAAATGATTTTCAATTTCACCATAATTCCATAATATTTTGATATCTACAAACTGCTGTTCGCTTTTTTGTATTAAATTTTTCGAATAGTCTATTCTGCCAGTAAATATAGTGTTAAATAATATAACATAAATATTATATATGAGATTGTCAGTGCAGTGGTTATGTGAGCTGTATAGGCAGTACTTTAACATCATGAATTCTGTGGTCTGTGACTGCTGAAGTGAACCATGTCCAAGGGCAAGTTAACATTTACAAAGACAGAAGTGCTTAAAATATTCAGAGACTTCTGAATATTTCTTTTAATAATTGATGATGAATAAATGATTTTAACTTTTGTTTTAACAATTGATGGTAGTCATTTTTAACAGTACCTGCTGCCATAATAAAAATATTTACCAGCAAAATAGTCTAAGGGTCTATTTTACAGAGACTGGTAAAACAAGCTTAAAAGCGTGTTTGTCTATTTTACCACAGCCAGCAAAATAACCATTTCCTAATTTTTTTTATTTTTTTTTAATATGCTTGGTTATAATTTTCAGTGACACTAACAGACAAGAATTGCCTATTTGTTTTGTTTTATAAATCTGGAAGCAAACAGATGCAGTCATTCTTTTAATCTTCAGACAATCTAACTTTTGTGAGTAATGTTATATGAGCTTGGTCATAAAATTTAATAAAGTAAATCATTGAAATAGTAGGAAAACTTAATTCATTGCAGAATGCTGGTTTAGAATAAAATTTCTGTATATACACCAAAATACCTGTATATAATATACATCTATTCATTTACCAGAGTTGAACACTTAATTAAAAAAGACATCTTTAATTAAACTGCTAATAACAATCTTGTAAGGAATACTGGTAGGCTGGCCAAAGTGAATGGAAGCAAATTCTTCAAGATGGAAAAATATTAATTCCTCTTTTTCTGAAGAATTACTGAGAAGAGCATAAATACTAGCAGCAACATGTATTTAACCTGGTAAAAAAAAGTGATGTATATGACTTAAACTTTTGCCAAGGATAAGGTTAATAAAAACAGAAAAAAGATTACATTACAGAATTATAAAAAAAAACAAACTAAAAACAAAAAACAAACAAACATTAACTGTTGTTACCAAACTTTGAAATCAAAGTGAATTCAGTTATTCCTCAATACACCCAATCACAGATGTAAAATAAAATATAAAATCCTTAATACTGCAGGAGTCATTATGTTGTTAAGGTCCAACATAATTCTATAAAAGTTACCTTTAGTCAAAGTGGGTAAATCAACCTCTACCCTCCCTGAAAGAAACCTATTTGAAAGATTGGAAAAAAAAAAAAAAAAAAGTGATACTCTCCAAGATTCCTTCATTATAATTCAATAATAAGACTAACAAATAAAGTTGGTTGGTACAAAGAAACTCATGTCTGCTCTACTTATAAAAATCTGAACAAACATCAGAATTTTGTGAAAAATACCTTCTTTGTTAGGCTAAAAATTTGTCAGCAACCTCTCACTGTCTCTAATCTGTAGATAAAACATTATATTCTTACCTGTGTCCTTACAAGTTTTTATCCTCTTTAATATACCTGGGATAAATAATATTAAAAACATTTTCACTTGAGAGATTGTAGCAAAGAAGTCAAATTCAACAGTGTAAGGGACGCAACTCTTTCCGTCGGAAAATGTCTGACACGATGCAACGCAAAGCAATGTACAACGAACACGGGTGTAATGCCCTTCTGCCAATTTCTCCAAGCGACCTGCTTTTATGGAGCCCAGACACACCTCATTAGTATGCGTGTAACGCGACTTTGCGTGACTGCACGAGACCGTGAATATTAAAAAGTCACGGACGCCATCTTGGACCCTTTCTTTCTTTTCTCAACCCACAGGCCAGACAGACGCGAGTGCGTTTGGGAGGTAAGCCATTTCTATTTTCCTCTACTTACAAAAATCTGAACAAACATCAGAATTTTGTGAAAAATACCTTCTTTGTTAGGCTAAAAATTTGTCAGCAACCTCTCACTGTCTCTAATCTGTAGATAAAACATTATATTCTTACCTGTGTCTTTACAAGTTTTTATCCTCTTTAATATAACATGGATAAATAATATTAAAAACATTTTCACTTGAGAGATATACCACCCTAAGGAACTAACAACAGGAGCAGTAAATCAGGAGCATTTGGAAAAAAAATGAAAAGGTCTACAAGTTCTAACATGTTCTCCAGTTTTGTTTGTGGTGTAAATATGATAGATAAAAATATTTACCAACTAGAAATCAACAAAGATAACCAAAATACGAAAATTATTTTATCTTCAAAGCCATCACCTCTTAGAAATCAAGGATTGTTCTACTTTCAGTTATAAGTGTCTTACCTCAATATAGCACTGACCACTGAGAGAGACTTCACTTTACGTGAAGAATATACTTATCTAAGAGAAAAAGCTGAGATATATTTAATTTAGTACTTAATGGTTGAATAGAAAATGAAAGAAAGTGTAATTCTAGTTTAAATGCAAAGAATAAAAAAATGAGAGCTACAAATTATTGTTAAACAGAAAAGAAATAACTTACCTTATATTCTTCAACCAGATATTTACACACAAATAAATGAAAGGGGAATTTTTTTTCAATCAACCTAACTTTTGCTGATACTGTTCTTGAGCCGATTTACTTCCTTATTCCTGCATATGAACCATGTTCACCAAGAAATTTTCTAAGTATTCATCAATCATTTCACATGCACCTCACAACAAATTTAAAAATCACTACACAAGTTGAGAGAAGTTAAAGAAAATAAATGAAAACCAAGTGCCATTTCTATTCACAATTATTTGTAATTAACTTTGTCTAATCTTATTTATACCATTTCATAGTCACTCATTCAATTCAGTGGACATCAATCTCTGTGATGATCTTTATGGAACAAATCCTTGTCTCATCAGATTTTTACCCATCAGCACTAGATATTCTGTAAATAAATGTTTGTCATCTTTCCCCTTCCTGAGATTTGGAAGCTCTACACATACCTCAACCTTAATATAGACAGATGCAAATCCAGTGGCCAGTGATACCATGTATGGATGCCTTCTTTCATTCTTAAATATTCCTCTCTAAGGACAAGTATTCTCTACCTGCCATGACTTAGATAACATTGTACCAAAATAGCACAATCAACTGGTGATATATATGTGTATATATATCTTCTGTCAGCCAGTCCTCATTGTTCAATGGTGTCTCTTTACATTTCCATTACTGCTTCATTTATATGCAGCTCTAAAAATGATTTTGATATTTACCCATCAAGTATCTTTCATCAATGTTGAATTGAATGAAAGCCATTACTATTATCCATTAACATTTAGTACCTCAGCAATTTCAACTGCATTCTCTGCTCTAATCTCCTGCCATGTGGCTTACAATCAATCATTGAAAAATACAACCTCTGCCAGTAATGTCACATCAACAGCTAATCTTTTCCAGTTATCTTCCACAAGAGAATTTCTCTAAGAATGCACACTAAGCATGGGTAAATTGGCTGACACTAATCACAATTCCTAACCACCCAGTGAATAACCTCTTTAGTCACATCAGGAACAATTTTCTTACCCCAAAATAGAGCCCTATCAACTTTCAAATTCTGTATGCTGTGAAATTTCTTTAGATTTGGGTCTCCCAAACAGCACAATGCACTCGCTCACTGAATTCTCTAGTAATATCAACCAAATTATCCTCACCCCAGTGAGAGCAGTTACTTTATTCTTCAATGATATGAACCTTTCATGCAGGTTTAAGATTAAATTTAGCTCTCCTAGGATTCTCAGTCGCCAGTCTACTCCCCAAGCTCTATACAAAGAAGGTGCTACCAGCAAATGCTGTACACATCAGTGGAAGCAGGAGTTTAGCCTTGTTAGATACAGGCTGTTCTTGATCGCTCATAAGCAGACTGCTTTGTTGCTCTTGGAAGAAGAAAGAAGTGGACAGGCTCAGTGTTGGTGAAAGGACCTTCAAGTGCTCTGGGGTAGGACATTCAACTTGATGCGAGCAACAGGCCCCCTATCAATGTTGAGGCTCTGGTTGTGGATGGAAAATTGCTTGGTTTCGACCTGCTGCTCAGATTTGACATCATCAAGAAGTTGGGAGGAGCATGTGTGTCCAGTGATGGGACTGTGAGCTTTCCTCAACTTAACAGACTTTTTGTGCACGACCATCACCATCAACGAATCTGACTTCCATGTAGAGTATGACCAGAATAAGAAGATCTGGGTTGTGTCTTGAAAGTGGTCTGGTAACCAGACACCACCTGCATTGAAGAACCGGACAGCCGAATATCCAGTTTCAAAGTCACTCAGGAAGTAGTGTACTAGTGAGCTATGAATCTGGATGGATAACAGTTGGCTACTTCCATATCCCAAAGAAGAACTTGGGCCCTTGCCTGATCCCTCTAATGGTTGTGCTGCAGGAAAACAAACAGAAGGTTCACTTGGTCATGGATTATTGAGAGCTCAATTAGTATGTGCATACGCACACCGCTGATGTAAACATTGAGGGAGTGGCAACAGGAAGGATCAGATGTCGCCATGCTGGATTTGTACTGTTCCTATTTGCAAATCAACATTAAAAAAAAATCATTGTAGCCTTTTCGAACAGTGTAGATAGGTGAGCAAAAATGTTGCCTCACCTTTTGGATTTTGGGCTCAACATGGCACTGCTGATCATGTGATCACTTATGAATGCCATGGTTGCACAGGATGAGACCATCCAGAGGGCCATGTCCTTGTACATGAATGACATATTTGTCAATGAGAGTATATGCACTGCAGTATGTGTAAGGGTGCATCTTCAGTCATTTGGACTAACCAGTCAGGATCTAGTGTTTAGAAAATGGCACCAGTGTGCACTGGTTCAGAAAAAAAAAATATTAGGTGTTAGTTACTCAGATCTAGTTATCTGAATCTTGAGTTCAAGACCTGGTTGGGTATTGCAAAAAAAGTTTCAGTGAAATGGATAAGTGATATCACAAACACAAACTCTGAAGAATTAATTGATGCAAGATGTCTTCTTACATGGACAGCAGAATGAGAACAAATTGATTTAATAAAGATTTCCATTCAAAATTTCCATGTTAAGACATTTGAAGGCCAGAGGTTACAATAACTGAAACATATAGTTTTTCTCTTATAATAACTGAAATATCTTGACTGTAACAAGCAAGATTAGCCTGAGCATGGCAGTGTATAATACATTCATAGGAACTGTTTTTAATTTAACTATTGGGAGAACAACAAACTGCAGCTTATTTCTAACTCCTTGCAGCAACTGCAATTTCTTAATTGCTCCTCTGCTAAATCTTGTGTTCCAACATTGCTTTTTTATAAGATTATCATTTTCATCAAGTTTTTCTTTTCTTGGTCAATATAATCATTTCATAGGAATTTTATTACAAATATTCTATTCTTTTTTAAAACTATGTACTGGTTCTTACAATATCTGATTAAAGAAATTTTATCTAATTTGTATAAAAAGTATTCAAATCAACATTCCTTAAGGTTTCATTGTGATGAGCATTTCTTTAGCTTTCAAATGCATAATATAAAAGGTTTTGTCATGCACAAGATATAACAGTTATTTTAATAAATCAAAATGCAGTTTTAATTTAAAATTGAGACAAAACATATGAAACTGTAAAAAAATTTTTTTTTTTAATATTTAAGACCTAAACTATTCTCCTTAGCACAAAACAAATGAGTAGTACAAACCTGCATAAGTTTTCTGGAGAGATCATTGGTTAAGTACTCCTCTTCTTGTTCATAGTTCATTGCCAAAGCTTCTTTCTCTTTTCTCAATGATTGAATCTTCTTCAGTAATGTGTTGCAGATAAACTCCTCTTCTTGTTCAGCACGAGCTTGCTGCAGGAAGATAAAGAAAAACAAAAGATAAGTGAAATGTGTAGAAAATAAAATGTAATTATAGAAAAGATTCTTATAAGTTCTATTCAGAATTTATCCTATACTTTAAGTCTAATGAAAAAAGAAAAAGAAAAAATAGCCTAGCACCTTCCTTGGTCCTCTTCAAAGTACTCTCTATCCCAGCATCATTTCTGAACAAGTTTGAAACATTGGTACAAAAACTTTATCTAAGTTTTACTCACTAAAATCATTCCCAGATGCCTTAATCATCAGAATAGTTTCCACAGATAAATGTCCAAGTTTAAAAAAAAAACAAAAAAAAAAAACATACATGGTGCATATTTGTAATGCTTACATGATACACAATTCCACTTAACATTGTCACACTGCTGAGTAGCCTTACAAGAGACATGTTCACAGTAATTAATTGCAAATTTATATCAATGATCTGCATCCAGTTTTTGAAATGTTTTCTGGACACATCTCAGTTAACAAAAATATTGGATTTATATCTGATGCATATGTTGACCTATGGTTAATAAGAGTTTATTCTTTAAATTAAATTTGTACTGATATATAAGAATATTCAATAATAAAAATCATTATATATATATATATATATTTTTTTTTTTTTTAATACAGTCTATTTTGATCATAAGACACAGATTAATTTTATCAAGTTTCAAATAAACACAATCAAACTTAACATTTTTAGCATTTTTATTTCTTGGAGAAAAAAAAAATTTAAATTATGATATGAAATATTTTAATCATTTGATTGTTATTTTTGCAATCATTCCATCAATTGTTCAGATTTAATATTCTCATAAATGAGAATACCAATCTTAATCATCATCCATGAACATAATAGATTCAGCATAAGTGAAACCACCAAATCACAACATTGGGAAAAGGGGGTAAATAAGCATATTTGCTATTTTTTTTTTAATTAAAAATATCTGTAAGCTTTAAATGTTTGATAAAAAGATTAGTTTTGTAGCCAAGTTGACTTATGAATAAAGTCCTCTACATTTTCTCTTATTTGCCTAATTGATTTCATCAATTTGTTTGCAGTATTCTCTGACTGCAAAACACCAGACCCCATTCTCATATCTTACAAGTGGAGATAGATAGATATGCTGAACCAAGTTAGATGTAAGTGCACATTTCTTTGTAAAGGAACTAACCAAACATGAAAGAAGAGTAATCAACTAACAAGATCAAAAGCCTATCTTGAGTTGATGATCACAAAGTTACTAGTCTTTTTATCTGGCCTAATGTTTAGATTAATGGTTACAAAATGTCAAGTTCCGAGTTACAATGTTTAACTACAACTAGCAATGGCCTTGTGCACCTGAGTAACAATAAAACCTGATACAAGGATATGCCAATCTGAAAAAAAATGCACAGGAACATAGGAGAATCTTAGAAATGTACAATATAAGAAGATTAGTGAAGAAATAGAGGTTAATGTCAAGTACTGAAAGTACACTTCACATTAAAATTGTTCAGTTGGAGAAGAAAAATATATAAATAGATGTATAGATCCAACTACACCACCAATTTTCCAGAACATGTAATTTCAACTAATTGAAATCAATTCTGTTGATATTTCACAGCTTATGAATAGAGAAATCTGTCAAATTTCTCAGCAGTTTAAATAGACTTAAATAGTATCAACTAGTGTTTATTTGATTGACACTGCCACTGAAAATAACTTGTCATTTTTAATTAAGCTCTTCCCATGATTATATGTAGACAAAGCAAACACTAAAATCTTACATAACATACCTCCTGCTGATTTAATCCCAATATCTCAGCAAATCAAGTTATCAATTACCATAAATGCATTATTTTAAATTCATTAATAATAGATTTATAAGCCCTTATTCTATGCTTTTGTGTACATAGTATGCTTGTTTATTGATCTTAATCTGACAACCTGACTTGGACCTCAAAATAATATTAAATTTTAAATAAGCTAATAATCAAATTTTTCCCTTATTCAGCACGGGCACTGAACTGTAAAGAAAGCTACTTACAAATTTTCATAGACACATTAACCACCACTTCAGTAAAATACTTTTGTCATTTATTTCATTTGATCATACATAACTTAATTCCTTATTAACTTCACTTTAAAGATTTGGAATTTGGTTATACAAGCTTAGAATTTAGTATACAGTGATCCCTCGCTATTTTGCGGTTCTACTATCGTGGATTCAGGACTTTGCGGATTTTTAAAATATATATATATATGGAAAATACATTGCGGAGTTTCTGGAAAATTCTAGAAAAATTGCAATATATGAACACCTAAAATTTGTCATTAAATCCATTAAAATATTAATAATAAATATTATTTCCTAGACTAGGAACAACAAAACAAGCGTAAAATAGCAAAAAAACATATACAGGGGTATTTGAACTTGTAACTCATATGACAAAAAAAAAAAAAAAAAAAAAGAACCATCTAGAATGCGATTTGCATACAGTACCCACGTATCCTGTTGTTGATAAAATGCAAAGTGTACCATCTCGGTGACGAATTGCGTTGTAAGACAGGCTGTGATTAGTGCAATGGAGAGAGATGATGAATCACAGCTTTCTATTTTGTCATCTGGCCTGAGATTGGTGCTTTGACCGATGCTCAGATCCACAGCATCTCCCCTTGTGTCTCTCTCGTGGCCATCTCACTTCAATCTTTCTCGCAGAGTGGTTTACTGTACTAATTTACATTGTGCTGTGTGTGATTTTTCTTTTTCTTTTTTGTTTCTTTGCATTGAACTTTGTGTTTTCATCCCTTGCAATGACTCCCAAGCATGCTGCTTCTCCCAAGGTTAGTACTGAGCCTAAATGCAAACGAAGAATGATGATGATCGCTGAGAAGGTGAAACTTCTGGATATGTTGAAGGGAGAACTTTTGCTGCTGTAGCCCGCCATTTTAGCGTGAACAAATCCACTGTTTGCTACATCAAGAAGGACGAGGCTAACATTAGGAAGATGGCTGCCATCAAATTTAATAAGTCGGTGATGAGAGTTTTATTATGAGGCTCATAATAAAACTATCATCCGTATGGAAGCTGCTTTAGCTGTATGGATAGCCGACTGCCAAAAGAAGAACATAGCCTTGGATACGAACATCATCCAAACAAAGGCTAGGAGCCTGTACAAGACTTTCACCGCTAAGGAACCCGAGGACGACAGTGGTGACCACAAAGAAGAGGAAGAAGACGAAGTAGAAGATCCGCAACCAGGGACGTCCAATGATTCACAACCTAAAAAATGCCTTTTTTCTGCTAGCAAAGGGTGGTTTGATAAGTTTCAGAAACGCTTTGGCCTAAAAAGCATTTCCCTGCATAGCGAGGCTGCTTCTGCTGACACAAGCGCTGCTGAAACATGCGTGAATGAAACTTTCAAGAAGATTATCTCCGAAGGTGGATATAAGCCCGAACAAGTTTTTAATATGGACGAGACGGGCTTGTTTTGGAAAAAAATACCATCACAAACTTCCCTGTACAAAGAGGAAGCAAAAACCTCTGGCTTTAAAGCATACAAGGATCGTGTGACCCTCATGACGTGTGGCAATGCTGCGGGGTTTTTGTTAAAGCCAGGACTTATTTACAAGTCTAAAAACCCAAGGGCTTTAAAAAACAAAAACAAGAATCTACTACCCATACACTGGATGCACAATCCAAAGGTGTGGATTCCACCAGTGTTTTATCCTTCAAGTCAAGGTGTATTTATCAGAGAAGGGCTTGCCATTCGAAATCTTTCTTATGGATAACACTGGTGGCCACACTACTGATCTGTCGCATGAGGGCATTCAGATTGAGTTCCTGCCACCCAACACTACGTCACTTATTCAGCCAATGGACCAGGGGGTTATCAGGGCGTTCAAAACCCTATACACGAGGAATGTCCTGGCGAACCTGGTTGCTTCTGTGGATGCCGCCCAAGAAGATGAAGATGAAAATTTTAACTTGAAGGCACACTGACAAGCAGTACACAATTGCTACGTGCCTCCAAAATATCCAGAAGGCATTGCAAGAAATGAAGCCTGCCACCATTAACACAAACTGGAAGAATTTGTGGCCTGAGGTTATTTATGGCAACAAGGGATTTACACTTGCTGAAATCCAACACTCCACAGTACAGAAAGCTTTACAGTTGGCTGCTATCATTGGAGGTGACGGCTTTGCAGACATGACCACGGGAAACATTGATGAGTTATTAGATTGCCACTGACCAATGCAGACCTCAAAGACTTGACGAAATCGGCCAGCAACGACGAAGAAGAAAAAACGCAGAAAGAAACGGAAGAAGTTGTTGACCAAACTGGCTTGACTTGAACGGCTAGCCAAGCTCTGCAACCTGGTTAAAGAATTGAAAGAGGGGTCACAGGAATGGGACAACAATATGGTTCGTTCTGTGCAATTTTGCAACAAAGTTGACGAAGTCATGAATCCCTACAAGATGCTCTTTGAACAGAAAAAGAAGCAGTGGCAGCAACTTCCTATCACAATGTTTTTGCAGACTCACAAAAAAGAGCCAGTTCCTGCTGCTACTACTACAGTTGCACCTTTGGAAGAAGTGGAAGGTGTGTCCTAGAAAAGGGCACCACCATCTGAAGAGACATAAAATACAATCCTTGGCTGCACAGTAGAAGTAATCATCAGCTTCAACATCATCATTTCTACTGCACAGCAAATTCATCACCATCATCATTCAAATTTTACTTCAACTTCTTTCTTGTTGAGTACAGTAACAATCTTTATTTTTTTTTAATCTAAAATGTTATTGCTTAACAGTTGTCCTTGTTATTAATAAAGTACTGTAATGGGTGGGTTGTTAACAGCGCAGGGAGGGTTTTAAAAGTCCAAATACACGTTAAATAAATACTGTAAATATGGTGCCCCTACTTTGCGGAAATTCAGTTATCGCAGCCGTTCTCGGAACCAATCTACCGCAATAAACAAGGGATCACTGTATATATTAAG